CAGCATCGACAGAAGCAACAGCCGGGCCATGTTGTGAGAGTCTGAGAATCGGGATCCTAAAGGCAAGAGGGCAGTGCGGCCTTTGACTTCGAGCCACGAAAATGCGAACACGATCATGCTGCTATAAGGCTATAATCATTAGTCACCACCACGCTCGCCGTAGAGAAACAGCCTCCATCACTTCGAAGATGGTTCCAAAGCAAGTGGAGAACTTCTCACCATCCAGGGATCACCTGGTGCAGGGGATTCTCAACCCCGATTCCTTGAAGGAACCCCATACATGTGGCACACATAAGTGCCTTGAGGTCAACCCTTATTTGCAACAGCGCCCGCCTCAAGTCAGACTGATATACCTACTTGGGCTCAGTCGATCATCGGCTGGCACCACAGTCGATTCAACCCCATCAGCTTCTTGTGGGAAGGTCCTTCCTCGCCAAAGGCCGGTGGTGCTGCTACTCTCCTGGGCGAAGGATGGGACTGATTCCCCTTCAAGCCGCTGAGAAACACCGTGAATAAAGCTCTTAAACACGACCGGAACAGCCTGGTCTCATCCAGTGGAAAGTTGGGCACACTGCCAAAGGCCACGGGCGAGAAAGTTTCGTTCAAGTTGGGCACTCGGTTCGCGGCCCTTCGAAGAAGGGTCACTCGCCAAGAATGCTTCGGCAGCTCCTCCTCGTGGACCATCCTAAGATCATCTGGGCTGAGGATTGAGCGCTTCGAGGGTTGGGGCATTGGGGTCGCTTCTAGGTTCTGCCTGGATCGAAGTCCCAGGCCTGGCAGCCTTCTGGGCAGATTTGTGCGATGCGCGGGTGGTCTTGCAGACGAGCTCAGATGGATTTCGACAGCTACCCTTATCTCGTCAGCTTACTCTATCGGCTCAATACCTTTGGGCTTATGCGAGTTTGCATCTGCATTCCCCTGCTTTTCGCTGCGACCCAGCATCGGGACGACCGGCGGGTTGAAGCCCCTGAGCGCCAGCTGATACTGCCCCGCCTCAAGTACTGCCCTCTCGCCGCAGCTCTGGCAGTGGCTGGCGAGGGTCCCCACGTCCATTAGCACTTTGCCTCCCGGGTTGCTGGATGTCTTCTTTGAAAGAAAGTCTGCTTTGGTGCTACACTCACCGCCACTGGAAAGCAGCCAGGGAAAGCATACCATGCTCACCAAAGATCATAAATCATTAATCCAGAATCGAGACCCCATGCACACTCGCGTGATCCTCAACTGCGACTCCTGAACTGGGACGCAGCAATCTGCCCAAAAATCTTCAAGCCCTCAGGCACTCGAACTTCCAAAGCCTTACGACACAAAGCTGGAAAGACGTACACGTACACGCATCTTGGAATGGAAGCCCTGCCCCCTGCCTTGCACTACGAAACACGCCACTTGGGTTCGGGGCAGCGACACGTAGCGGTCCGCCGCGCAGGCTGCGAAGACCGAAGCACTGAGATCACCCTCCAGGGCTCTGGGTGTAGATTCTGAGGTTTTTGGCCCAATCCCCCACCATTACACTTCCTCTTCGCAGGATTTCCAGGCATTCGAGGGCCGCAGTTTCGGAGGTTTCAATTCCGGTGTTTGGTGCCTCGGGGATTTTGGAGCACCAGGTCCGCCCCAGACCCGAAACCCTAAGCCCCAAAGCCAAGCGGAAACCGCGTATCCTCCAACGAAGAGCAGAGGCTTCGGCGGCCGCTGTCGGTGGAGATGTCCCGATAAGGGGGGTCCTCGATCCTTGTTCCGTGGGGCGTTGAACAGGATGGTCCGATTGGCTATGGTGGGTTTGCATCCACGTGTGGTCCTTCTGGCGTGGTCACAGCATGTACTTCTTCCGTTGTAGAGTCACCCAACAAGGCCACAACTTGGAGCACCCCTCACAGGAACTCCCCCTTCCGTCTTCCTCGAAACCCTCCCAAGGCCGCAGAGATTATTCGACTCCAAAGTCCGACTCTCAAAGGCCAGGGATCATCAGCTCGAAGAACGGGCAGGGCACCCGGGCCGGGTCTTGGACGTCGCGCTGGCGGCCGGGCTCCCAGGTCCTCTCCGAGCGGAAAGGATTGCCTGGGCTCACACTCTCTGTTTAATTTAAACATGGTTTCAAATAACTATGAGGCTTTGCCGGGCGTATGAGACTTTGGTCATGATTTTATAAGGGATTCCAAGGAGGTTGTTCATGGGGTTCTGGGGATTTGCGTCTGGGGCCCCGAAGGCTTCGGATCTCGTCTTCCTTAGAGGTGCGGGAAGATGGATAGATTGGGTCAATCGTTTTCGGCTGTGGGGTTTTCGGGGCTTCAGGGCGCAGTTTCTTGCACCTTCGGGAGCTCAATCATTAGTTTCGGAAAAAAAAGAAGCCAAAAGCCCGAAGGCTGGACGCAAAAATGCCCCCAACCCTCCCCACACATCGAACCTGCGAAGCGCAACAACGTAACCGACAGTGGCCTAGTCTAGGGCTTAGGGACAGCTAGCCAGGAGGAATTTCGGGGAATGGCAGTACCAAGTACTGACGCTTCCCCTAAACCTTAAACTAGGCCTTGAACAAGAGATCCTACCGCTCTCCGCCGTTTGAGTCAAAAAGTCCGGGAAGCTTTGGTACGCAGTCCTACACCATAACTGCTAGTGACAAGAAGTCTGCAAAAACATGTGACATGCGTCTACAAGATCATAACTCAAAAGTTAATATACGTCCACTCTACGGATTTTTTTGCAGATGGTGAGTCTATCAACAGCATGCATGCTCTTCATATGATTAATGAAATATTGCCGTCGAGACCGGCAGGCGGAGCCGGTGCACCCCTCAAAGCCACAAAAAGAATCTGCAGACTCTGAGGCAACAAGACTGTGGGAGCCTGAGGGCTGTGTTGTATTCCACACCAAACCGCTCCCAGTCACTGAGGGAAGAATCCAGAAGGGCTGGATGCAGGGGCGACGGGGCGGTGTCGAAACGGAAGCCCTGAGAGTGAGCTCCAGAAAGGTGTCTAGACTCTGAGTTTCTATGGCTTTAGATTCGGGCTTTGAGCTTAAGCAAGCGTTGTCATTTGGGAGAGGCGTGAAAGCCTACCACCGACCTTCCGTGCTTTGTCGAAGCCTCCGTGTCCCCTCAAGGTACGGCACTAGGAACGTAGAATGTACAACATGAAGGTGTCTGGGAGGCCTGCGGCGGTTGGATCTCGAAGGACATGGGCAGGGTAATTTTCACCGGCACGGCAACCTGGCTGCGCTTCTTACAGTCCGTCTGTCCATAAATCTCGCAACCCGTTTTGCGACAAGAACACCGAATTTAATTAACCTTGACGACTGGGTTCACGATGACGCCTGCTGAAAAAGCATACCGCCAATAGAGGCCACTCCGCAAGAATCAAACTCTCTTGCCGCACCAGAAGATAGACCGTCGTCAGGACGTTTGTCTGAGCTGTCGTCGTGGTGACCGCGAGATCCTTGGCCAGGGAAATGGTTTTGGAGGCCGCCCCTAACCCAGAAAACCTGCATGCCCAAAGTCTGGAAACTTGCAAACTCTCTAGGAATTTTGGAACTCCGAAGACCTTAAGCACACCCGTCCCTGCTCCGAGCCGAATCACTGGCAAAGGCATGGCCGGCAAGTTCCTACCCTCAAACGACGCGGCAGCCGCAATAGTCGTCCTGCACGGCTTTCGGGCTTCAGTCGGGTAAAGGCTTAGAACCAAGGCAGCTCCAGGGCAAGCATCAGGGGCCGGCTCCACCAAAGGAGCATCGAACAATCACCAAAGCCAGGCAGCCAGGAAATGCATAGGCTCCACCAAGGCAGCCAATAATTGCGACCCATGGCCGACGTCATGAGCATTAGCTGGAGCCGGCTCCACAAATACCACAAATCGATGAAACAAGAAACCGGCATCATGAG